ATAGGGATCAGCTGTAGTCAATCCTATCACGTGCTCCTCTCGAAATTAGTTTGAGAAACTTCACTTATGTGTGTGAATGAGTGTTTGTGGATGGGTTGCGGCTGGAAGGACATCTGCTGTGTAAAAACGTGCTGGATAAGTCAGTGGTTCATTCCGCTGTGGCAACCCAAGATTTATAAAGGGACTAAGCCGAAAAGAAAATGAATGAATAAATGAATAAAAATCAAGCGGCAACCTCCCGAGGGAGGCCAATACGGAAGTAACTGAAACTGCAATTCATCGAAAATCCGCTAGTCCTGGCTCCATAATAGAGCAAAGTTTAATTGAGCCCACTGTTAAAATGGCCGACTTTACAGCAGAAAAAAAGGTGTTTACAGCCTGCTACAAAGAAAGATTTTGGTTAATACAGCTAATATTACTCTTCATGACAACTGTGAGGGGGGTGAATTTTTTTTATAACTCATCCGTTTCCTTTATATTAAGTTATATTAAGTTTGCATAATTAAGGGAGTGGCCACATTATTGACAGCTAGGTCTTGTTGGTCGCCGTCACGTCACCTCAGCTGAATCCTGCAGATTATCCACTGAACTCGGCATATTTATCGTATTTCTGTGTTGTTTTATGTGGCTTTACACAGTCAACTGCCTTTTAGACTTGTTTCCTATAATATTAGATGATATGGCATGCTGTGTGCACTTAATTGTGCTCACAAACCATTCACGTGGTAGTAAAGTTATATACTTGTAAACCATCTCTTTACATGTATTTGTTTTATTTAAGATCATTTATCATCTATATTGTTCTTCAGAGTCATCTGAAGCGTTGTCATACAGTGTTATGCTGGATTTCATCAATAGTCCTGCATTAACTAACACAGACTCAGGACCGGCGTGTCTATAGAGGCGACCTGCATTTACTGACACCTCCATCAGCACCCGCGGTTGTGTCCTCAGTTATATCCGCGCTTAGGGTGACAGAATAGAGGTCCGCGACGACCGCGCCTCCTGTTATTTCTGCGCATAGGGCGGCAGAATAGTGAGAGCAGCGTCGGCAACACCTCCCTCCCTCCCTCAGCACCCGCGCGTCCTCAGTTATTTCCGCACATAGGGCGACAGAATAGAGGTCCGCGACACCTCACTTCATTTTCATAACCGGTCTCTTTTGTTTTCACACATTGGGGTTGAGGGAGGTGTGATCGTCCTCTGCCTAGAGCGGCAGTTCAGCTTGCTCCGGCCCTGCACAGACTATATCTGAAGTGTTTGGAAGTAATTCGCATTTTCCTTCTGCAGAAAAACTTCATGAGAACAATGTTTAGTGGCTCTGTGTGTTACAACAGTGTTTAAAAAAGGCTAAACACTTTATTGATATAGTGTACAACCAAGCACATGTGGTCAGAACACAAACGAGTCACAGGTGATAAAGTATTAAGAGTTCTCCCAAAGTAAAGTGTGTCTGAAGCCAGGTCCAGCAAAATGCCAGCAGGTGTCTGTAGCTCCGCCCACTCTCCGCCTCTTTGCCCTTGTTTGGTATCCCGCCATGGGTCCGATGACGCGCAAACAAAGTGTAGTAACGAGCAAACAAAGAAAACAAAGCACAAAGGCAGAACATTTCATAGGTAATATTAGGTTTTTTCTGTTTTTGTATGTTCTGAACTTTTGTGCTAATCATGTAACGTTATTGATGATAACAGTCACTTACTGCATTCACCATACGGCAAAGCAGCTCCAACTAGCACTAAACACTCGGCTTATGCTAGTTTTGTTGAATAAAATCAGTAAACAATGCAAAAGAAATATGACAACGAGATGCTGCGCTGCCAGAAACTTGTATTATTGTCGGCTAGTGAAGGAGTCTTTTATAACGGGGATTCATTCACAAGCGAATCGCTCCCTCCGTCAGTATGAGCAGTGAAAGCAGGAGAGGAGCTGTGTTTCAGGACATGATTAGATTAAATTTAACAGGCAGGGTGGATAGTACATTTCTGTACACACAAACACAAGCTTTTTGTCAGGAATGCCCGTGCGGTCACTGATCCATCAATGTAGAAAAGTGATGTAAAATTATAATTTCCATAATAAAAAAAAATTGCATACTAACATCCAGGAAAACTCCTGATCATAGATATATGTGTATATGTGTATATCTCTGGCTTTGGATGGCCACAGTCCTCCACTGTCCCTTGGTCCCGCATTCATTTCAAAGCAGAGCTACCCTGTTCCAAAATGGCGGCTCTATTGACGCATTCCTTCTGATAGACAACAACAGGGTAGGTGACATCTAATGTATATATAGGCTGTTTCTCAATATGCGTTCTTCAGCGGTATTGCGTTCTTGTGTAACATCATCATCAACTGCCAAAGGCCCTGTTTACACTAATGTTTTAATTTGAAAACGCATAAGTTTTGCCACACTACGCCGGAGTTCTCGAGCGCCGAAAACGGAGCGTTTTGTAAACGCTGGAGAGGCCGTTATCATTCTGAAGTACTGCTGCTCCGTCTCAGTGTGGATGGGGGAAAACGAAGACATCTGAAAACGGAAGCGGGGCTGCAGACGTTCGTCTATCTGATTGGGGCTTTTCCTAAATATTAAGTAGCCTAACACGCACAGTTCAGTCCTGCATTCTCTCCGTGTAAGTTCAGACTTCGCAAGTTTCATCAAGGCTGCAGTCTCTTCTTCTCAGTTTGATATGGAAAACAGATTATACCGAGGACACGGGTAAATCTTCAAAGGGAACAGTGTACTTTATAACTTCATTCACATCATCCTGGCTTCGTTGTTTCACTTTCTCAACAATAAAATGTAAACATGATTTAAGGAACTGCCTATTTTCATTTTAATATTAACAACTTAACAGACAGCAGAAATGTTGAGGCGTCGTGCTGCATGAGCTTCATCTTCACTGTGTGGATATTTATAACTAAACGGAGCCGATAACAACTGCCTCCTTTCAATTTCAGTGAAAATACGAAACATCACCTATCTTTTGCTGAATATCAGTTTTAATATTCGATAATGGCCATTATAAAAGTATAACATACAATAAGTTTAAACATTGTAGGAAATAAAGGCAAGCGATCAGTCAATATACATGGATTAATCATTAACTTATCTTTGAGCTCAGCCAAAACACGTTACCTGTGAACAAGTAATAGATTCCAACGACCAAAGTCAGGGAATATGTCGTTAGATAAAGACAACAAGATGAATGAAATATCCCGTTTAATAAATATAGTGAGATTAGATCCAGCGGGAGATGCTGGATGAGCAGTCCGACTAGCAGAGCTCTCATCTGGGTAGAAATGCTGCACCGCTTGCCTGAGATTGTGTGTGTGTGGTCACGTGATGTACGTTTTCAGCGTTTTGGTGTGGACGGAGAGCAGTTCAGAAACGCTGGGTAAAAAGCAAGTGTGGACACGGATCGTTTTCATTCTAAAATGACGTTTTAAAACTAAAATGCACTAGTGTAAACGGGGCCTAAGTTCAGTTCTAATACTCAAGACCGCAAGTACGGAGGATGCGTGAAACTTCCCGGATGTGTTCTTGATATCGAGGACGCACCGATGCAGACTTGAGCACCGAACTTGATCTGGAAGTCCCAGAAGTCATTGCGACTGGAGGTGGGAAGCGCTGCATTTAATTTAGATTAATTATTAAAGTTCAGAGACATCACTTATTTACCTCAGGAGTTTTCCTAAATTAAATGGTGAAATTAAACATCAACATGGACGTCTTAATAAAGGAATAAACACATTAAGGGTGTTTGTTTGCTAAAATTCGTATTAAAAATCAGTTTTATTTATATTGCGCAGAGTATATTTATAATGTTTTTATGCAAAGTATATATTTTGAAAAGGGGGAAAGCAATAAATCGCAGTATGAATGCTGTAATGTTTAAATAATTTACCATTTAAAACACGTGAAGGTCATGTGACCATCAGGAAGAACGCAGCATCTCAATTCTCAAAGGACGCGTTCTCTGCCCTCGCGGTCTCCTGAGTTTGTTCTCCGAGGACACCTGGCAAGACCGCCCTCCACAAGAACGCAAGTCCGTTCTCAGCGTTCTTGGAATTGAGAAACAGCCATTATCTATGGGCAGCGCCTATTTATGGTTCTTTTGCGCTTTTCAGAAACCTATGAGTGACGTCACTACGTCCATATATTTTACAGTCTATGATAAAAATGCATGTAATTATAAATAAACAGCATGTATTCATAAGAAAATGAAAGCATGCGTTTATACAACTTGCATGTAAAATAAATGCATTTTAAAATGAAAAAAACGTGCAATTATAAATGAATAAATCATGGATTTATAAAAAAGATAGAAAGTAAATATTAACAAAAAAGCATGTGTTTATTAAACATGCATGTAATATAAAGAAATGCATGCATTTATAGAATAAAAACATGCATTTATAAATTAAAAGCATGCATTTATAAGAAAATATTAATTCATAAAGTATGGTATATAATTAAATAAATGCATGCAAATTAGATATTTATTATTAATAAATTACAATCTATGTAATCTAAATACATATATGCATTTATAAATAAAATACATGCATTTATATAAATCTATAAAAAGCATGCGTTTTATGAATAATAAAAGCATGCATTTATAAAAGCGTGTGTTGATATAAATTAATACATGTAATAAAATAAAGAAATACATTTTTAGAAAATCCATTGTCTTTATTTATATTCTCCCATTTATTTACTGACATTTATTCTTCTGTTCCTTCTGTCCTGTTCACATCACGTCACCACTTTTGTATAAGGTCCTTACGTTTTCAAACTATTATATACAGTATATTTATAAACATATTATATATTTGCAAACATGATAGCTCAAGCTCAAAAAAGTAATGTAAAGGATTACTTTCCTTAGAACGTAACTAAGTCAAAAAATTAGTTTGATAAATGGATTACTTTTAAAAGTAACTTTCCCAAACACTGGTGATGTTTGATAGTGATAAATTTAACATGTGTGTTTCAGTGAGCACTGATCCTCCTCTGAGGATTCTTCTCCTGGGTAAAAGTGTGTCTGAGAACAGCCGTGTGGGAAACTTGATCTTGGGTCGATCAGCGTTTGACAGTGAAGCTTCTCCAGATGTTGTGGAGAGAGTCGGAGGAAGACTGAAGCACAGACACGTGACGCTCATCAACAGTCCTCAGCTGCTCCACACACACATCTCAGATGATCAGATCACACAGACGGTCAGAGAGTGCGTGAGTCTGTCTGATCCAGGACCTCATGTGGTGCTTCTGCTCCTCCAACATCAGCAGTGTTCAGCAGAAGATCAAGAGCGTGTGGAGAAGCTGCAGGACTCTTTCTCTGAGCGCCTTCTTCAACACACCCTGGTGCTCAGCACACAAGAGCCCACTGAACCCAATCAGATCCTGCAGAAGATCATCCAGAAGTGCTCCAACAGACACGTCAGTCTTCAGACAAGCAGCTCTGCTGATCATCTTCTGCAGGCCTTTGAGGACATCGAGCGGAGCAATGAGGGACGACACCTGATTTCTGGAGACTCACAGTGTTCCACAGTGGAGAAACGGGACCCACAGACACGTGAGTGAGAGCATATCTGATGTGTCTGCTGCTGTATGAAGGGTGTTTAATCTTCTTCTTCTCTTTCAGACTCTGAGAAGCTGAATGTGTTGGTGTGCGGGAGCGACGGCTCACTGAAATCCTCCATCTCAGAGCTGATCCTGCAACACACACACAGAAGATCAGAGAGTGTGAGGACAGACGTGATCAATGTGCTGGAGCTTCCAGCTCTGTTCAACACTGGGCTCTCAGAGGAGGAAGTGATGCGTCAGACTCTCCGCTGTGTGTCTCTCTGTCATCCTGGAGTTCATGCTTTCCTCCTCATTATTCCTGACGCTCCACTTAATAATGAAGACAGAGCAGAAATGGAGGAGATCCAGAAGATCTTCAGCTCCAGAATCAACAAACACATCATGATCCTCATCATGCAGAACTCAGAGCATCAGACAGCAGAACTCAGTGAAGAAACACAGGCTGTCATTCAGAGTTTTGGAGGAAGACATCATCACTTCAGTCCTGAAACACAAGTGTCCACATTGATGGAGAACATTGAGCAGATGCTGGAGGAAAACAGAGGAGGTGTTTACTCCACAGAGACATTCCTGGAGGCGCAGATGGAAAATCGGATGAAATATGAAGAGATGAAAATTAAGAAAAGTAATTTACTGGAGACACCACTGCTGACACAAGGTGAGGAGAATAAAGCCAGCTTCAGTCACAAACTTAAAACTAGAAAATTATAGATTTAAACTACAGTTGTCTTATATACAATTAGTTTATAAACAGCAGAATGTCTTGATTACAGATGTAATACACAAAGTGTAAATCTGCATATGAAGCCATTTATATGTTTATATACACCTGTTTATATGTATATCTAAGTGGCACATGTGGAATCACTCAGACTATCAGTGAAGTGTGAGCTCATGGTTAGCATTCAGCTGGCAGTTCAGTGTTAGAATACTAGAGATCAGGGATCAAGAGTTACATTTATAACTGAGACATTTCCTCTCAGTTGGTCTTTCTGCAAAAAGTAAGTGACCAACAAGATAAGAGTCCCTATGGAAGGTGCCATAGAACTAAACTTGTGACAAGTTTGGAGTGTTGTAGCTTAGCAAGTATTATGAACACAAAAACACTTATCAATGCCATTTAGACCTTAGTTACACTAAAGCGTCCAATAGCTACCCTGAGTCACAGATTTACCAAATAGGAAATTAATTAGAGCAGGTAGACCTAATGAGTTCGCTAGAAACCTTCAATTAGTATGTCAGTATGTTGGGAACGCGCTCTAGGATAGATGTTGCAGGGATCACAATCTTGGGAGATGCCTGTGGCAAAAAACAGAACAAAACACATATTCAGACCCTATCGGGGAAATGCTACATAAGGACTAAAATATTTTGTAGATAGAAACAATAGAAATGAACTAAAATGGAAATTTCCTATACGGGCACCAAATCCCAACATGAGTGTTGACAAGAGGACACACATATTCATTCAAGCATCCATTTATTCTATCTACTTGGATGTTGGGACCTTTGAGGAACTCTCTAGGCTTTACCTGTTTATTGCTCTAGTAGAGCAATAAAAGCATATGCATCTCCATGTTAGAGAGAATGGTGCAGCAGACATCAACACCAAAATCTGTTCCTCCACATTATCTGCTTTTACTTAATATGCAGGAACAACCTAAATCCATTTTGCAAATCCAAGATTGCAAAATCCGGCAAATGTGTTTGCTGCACCCAGCCCACAGTAGAGGTCTGCGCAGGAATGATTTTTTTTACCAGTTACTTCCACCCAGTTTTATTCTTCATTTGACTGCTCCTGCTGTATATATAAAGGCTGTATATAACCTTTCCCCCCCTCTCCCTGTTTAGAATAATTTGCTTATTTGTCAATTTGTTTTCTCCCCACAAGGAGTTTTCTTTACATGTTTTTTTACATACCTCATTCTGAGGAGAACCTAAGTTGTCTGTTTTGCTACCTAATTTTTGAGAAGAATCTAAGTTGACTTTCTTAAAGGGCCATGAAACCCCCTCGTTTCAGCAGGGTGTTTTCACACCTGTACTTTGGAAAAAGTCAGAAAAGTGGGTGTGTCCAGCTCTGTTTAGGGGGGAGTGTCAGAGGAAGAAAAGAGGCTTGGTGTGGGAGTGTCTATTTGGGCGCGCTGAATTTCAGAGTCAAAACACACACCCACAGCAGACAATGTGACTGTGTTTACATGGACATCTGCAGTCGAATTATTTGCCAAATTATTAAATGGTGGACTTTAACTGCAGTTTGGCTTTCATGCAAAGTTTGATACCGCACGGCGAATGAGAGAAAAAAAACTCAGCATTTCCCCGGAAACTTAGATGCACTCGGCAGGTAGGGTTAGAAAGCCGAGTGTGTTATTCCGGTCACAAAATCCTACACAAGGTTATAGTTTGGTTGTAGTGCTAACTTGTTTACACTCAGTGCAATAGTTTGTTCGATACGAATAAAATACGAACAGAATAAACAAAGAGCACTGGTCGCTCACTTACCAAATCTGTAGAGACAGGACAATCACCAGCAACTAGAGCTGCGTCTTTATTAAGAGGAGACTACAAGCAAATCCGGATCTCAGCGTTTGCAGATGAGAACAGCTCTCAGGTAAACAATAATCCTCCTTAGACACGTAAGTTATTGTTGTCGAGCGTCGTGTACACTGTTAATCCACACGTGACTCCAGCTGAGCTCTCACAGAGAGAAAATGAAAACAAAACTTCACTGCAGCAAACTATAAAAGCAACACTTCACGCTTGTTTTGCCAACACAACGTGGCGTCTCTGTCGTCTAAACACCGTGACAGTTGCACAATAGAGCGCAATGATTGGTTTGAACCAAGCTTTACTCATGCATTAATGCATCACACTGTAAGACGTAATAAGACACACTCTGGCACAGACGCCCAGTCTGCACGCTGGAATACACGCTATTATGTCATGGCCGTGACGCAGCTTCAAAAACTCGTTTCAAACCGGAAGTACGAATTTGCTTGAAATAACGCAAAAACAACCAATTTACACTTTTTAGTGAAATATAGGTGTCCTAATAGTGTTTATAGCAGTGTGGGACACATATACCACTGTCAACAGCTCAACACATGTGTTCTGGTGTTTCGTGACTCCAGTAGCTGCTGCAGAGCCCCGACTTCTTTCCCCCAAGCCATTCTCTAGAGATCCTAGTTCCTGTCAGGGATTTCTCACCCAGTGCTGTCTCACTTTTGAGCCTCAAGTTTTGAGGGCTGAAAGATTGCTTATATTATCACCCATCTGACTGACAAGGCATTATCTTGGGCCTCTGCGGCATGGCAGTCCCAGCCGAGTTATTGCAAGTCATACACAGCCTTTGAGAAGGAGTTTAAGAAGGTGTTCAATCATCCAGTTAGTGGACAGGAGGCCTCCAAACATCTCCTTACTCTCCGTCAAGGTCCTCGCAGCACTGCATACTTTGCTATTGAATTTCAAACTATTGCAGCAGGTAGTGGATGGAATGACGAAGCCTTGAGAGTCTGCTTTCTGGGCGGATTAGCTGAATCTCTTCAAGATGAGTTGGCCACCTGGGAACCAGCCAAAGACCTTGAATCCCTTTTTAATATGGCCATTCGCCTTGATATTTGCTTGAGAGAACGGAGAATGACTTGAGGCAGAGCATCCCAGTCCCAAACTCCTGTTCACAAACCTGCATCCCCAGTTCATGCTTCACCAGTCAGACTTCTCCCAGTCAATGAACAGGCTCCTGAGCCTCCAGAAGATATGCAGCTAGGTCGTTCCAGACTCTTTCCCAGTGAAAGGGAGTGACGCATAAGGGAACGACGATGCCTTAACTGTGGTATGTCAGGTCACTTTCGATCCACTTGTCCAGAACTGTCTTAAAACGATGGTCCCCACCTAGTTACACGAGGACTGTGATGGGGAAAATAAGAGTTCCTCCTGCCATAACAGTTCTAGCACTCAAAGCTATTCTGTCCTGGGAGAGCCATCAGTTCCCAGTACAGGCCATGATCAATTCAGAAGCCGCAGGTAATTTCATAGATCTGTCCTTAGCCAAGAAACTTAAGATTTCTACCCACCTTCTCCCTCACCCCCAGGCAGTAACTGTATTGAATGGTAGACCCCTTGAACTCGGCAAAGTAACTGAGGCCACTCAGTCCCTGAAGATTACCATTGCTAAACATCAGCAGGAGGAGACTATCTACCTTATTGACTCCCCCGAGTATCTGGTCATTCTAGATCATCTCTGGTTGCTCAGACATGATCCCCATATCAACTGGTCTACGGGTTCCATTCTAGATTGGAGTCCTTCTTGTCACTTCTCCTGTTTAACCCAGAGGCTCTCAGCCCCTCATTCCGAGCCTCAAGAGTCTGTAGATCTGTCTCAAGTTTCCGCCGTCTATCATAAGTTTAGGGCAGTGTTCAGTAAGTCTCAAGCCACCTCTTTGCCACCTCACCGCCCATACGAAAAATTGCCGGCAATTTTCCGGAAAGGTCTGTATGTGTGAAAGGGGCTACTGTGAGTTTGAATGCCATTTTACATAACATTTATTGCCATATACTGAAAGCAGCAGCAGATAGTTCACCTCAGATCTTGAACATAAAATTTAAAAGTTTGAAATTGAACTTTAGAACTGTGTCTCAAAACCAACAAATAGTGATTCAGCATCTACATTTAATAATGTTAAAAAGGTTTAATACATATTTATAAGATTATAAACCTTACTGTTTTATGAGTGAGGGCATATTCTAAGCTTCTAAATCGCTGCATTTACATTTTTGTCGTGTTTCATGTGGTACAAACAGCCAACTTGCTTATCACTGCAAATCTCATCATCTACTGTTGCATGTTGTTAGGACATGGGGTTACAATGTAACATGCTCACCTAATGTTTACATTCATAATATTTATATTGTTTGCTAATTATGAACCACCTCATGTGGAACTCCAAATCTGCTTGTCAGGATCGGGGATAGAACCCGGGTCTCTGGCATGAGAGGTGAATGACTTCCCTACTGAGCGATGAAGAACCCAAACGAATAAAGGCAACTTGCTTCTCAGTGGAAATTTATTTTTTTTTAAAAATCTTCAATAAGAGATAAAAGTAAAGTGAGGCAAAAACAGAGTCCTCCAATATTCAAAAATACAAAACTCAAAAAGTAGGCAAAAAACACCTGAACAGTTGAACTCAGCAAACACAAAAGATATAAGTCATTAAAGAGCCTAGAGTTATAACTAAGTGGCTTTACAAAAAGTAACTCACAGTGGTTGACAGGCTTGAATCCACAATAACTGAGCAAAGCACAGATGAAACTGAGGCTACTTAAATACAAGAAACTAAACAAGGCAGATGTGAAATCAATGACAATGTTTATGGATACCAAATAGAAAACTACTAAATGACGACATCTAGTGGACAAAAAAAAAACATTACAGGAAAAGCTAAAATAACAAAGGGCAAAACCCTGACACTGCTTCTCATTTCAGAGTATGTTACTGTCCACCAAAGGTCACATTTTGGTCATGAGCTCATGCTTTGAGAGAATATCTGAATAAAGGAATAAACAATGCTATTTTCCACCAAAGCAAGCCGGATTGCTAAAATATAATTGGCTAAACTGGCATTGGGCTGGTTAAAAGAACCAAAAACAAAAACAGCCATTTTGGCATAGAAAAAACATTTTCAAAGCTGAATATCTGCCTCTAGCATTGTATTTCAGATAAACAAGAATGTTCACGTAGCATGATTCTTAAACATCTGCAGACTTATTATGGTTTTTTATGCTTTAGAAGAGTCAAAAACTTACATACGGCACATTTAAAGAGCCCATATTATAGGTTTTTAAAAATGCCCTTCTATTTAGTGTGTAACACAGCTCTAAGTGAAGTGAAATATCCAGCTTAGGCTTAAATCTGCAAGTGTACAGTGTTTAAAAATGTTGATTCAGTTATAAAAGAGTCGACTTGTAGTGCTTAAAATGAGTTGTCTTGATAACGAGTCATTAGGTGTTTCGCCATGACGTGACAATGAAATCAAGTAGTTGCGCGTGCAAATCCGAGAGATTTGAAACCTGCGGCCCCACCCTCTAACAAAGAAAAAGCCACACACACAAACACACACACACACACACACACACACAAACAAACATGCCACCACACCGGTCAAATGAAGTGGCAATGTGCAGATAGATATTATTGAGTCTCTACCCAAAGATGAATCCTCAGCATTATAGCCCAGCCTTGAGCAGTTTGAGTGTTTCTGGAAACTACATGCTATAAAAAAGACTTCATCTGCCGTTTGTTAAATGAAGGATCAGTAAATACTACTGACGGACTAAGTCAGAACCTGGATGGGTTTCTTCCTCCATTTCTCAAGTGTAAGTACGTGCGATTAAAGTTGCCTCGTTGACTCTAGCTTGCAAATGTATTTAGTTGTGATTTGTTACTTGTAACCGCGTGTACTGTATCAGGTTAACTGGCTATATTCTCATATCGCTTAGCAGTAAAGCCACGTTAAAAACGCGACGCGTGCCGCTTTGTTTACGGACCTCCGTGGAGGAGGGTTATGTGTGTATGTGTGTGTGTGTGCGGTTTCCTCTTCCAAGGAGGGTAATGTGTGTGTGTGTGTGTATGTGTGCGGTGTCGTCCCAGTAGGAGGGTGTGTGTGTCTGAAAAGAGCATTGTTACAAGCTAGGAGATCTCCTCGCCAGTTCTTGGAGTTTTTGCTTAATAAGATACTTATTTGTCTGTATTTTCAAGTCCATCGTCTGTATTTACATTCCCCCACTGGAAGCCAAAATCCACGCCTTACACTATGAAGCATGTATGCAGTGACTAATTTTATATTGTTGATTAGCTGCTGGGCATTTCACTCTGTCTTGCGCTGAAGGCAGTCAGTATCGACCAATCGCAACAGACTGTCATAGGTCCAATTAGTACAGATTAGCTTCGCGCTAAGGAGGGGTTTGGGAACAAATGACTCACTAGACGATTCATATGGGAGTCACTGGGATAATTAGGTAAAAATAAATGCAAATTACAAGATAATGAATGTGTTTTTTGACCTCGCATGCATATTAATCTGTTGTTGGAGATCATTACAACCAAACTATGACTCTATTTCATGTATAATATGGGTTCTTCAAGGTGCCTATATAAGTTGACTTGAAGCCTATGGTCTGCATAATGTGGCCAGTGTTTAGGGGTCTCAGCTAGTGGAGGTAGATCTTGGGCTGAAGCTACAGGGGAATGCCCTCAGCAGGGGTCAACTGGAACACCAGCCATATATCTGGCTGACCATGGTCTGGCAGCTTTCCAGGTTCACTGAAGTCCAAGTGATGGCGCTCTTGGGCCTTTAGTGTGGCCATCATTCTACCCAGGCCAGGACCCTGTGGCTACCTAGCTGTTTGGAGATGTTTTATCAGTCCTGGGGAAGAACCACCTCTATACATCTTTGGGCCTCTGCCTGGTAGACTTGGTAAGTGGCTATAGCCTGCAGGGTGTAGGTGCCCATAGACAAAGCCATGTAAGGTCTATCATTGATAGATGAAAAACAAAAACCTACACACCTTGGATGGATTCCCATCACAGGGAGATGATTCTTCTAGGCAGTACTTTGTGGACAAAAGTTGACCACAGTGAACTTCTCAACCTGGGAAATTTTCATCCAGTGACTGGATGGAGCGAGCTGTTGATTCAATTCAATTCATCTTTATTTCTCTAGCGCTTTTACAATGTGGATTGTGTCAAAACAGCTTAACACAGAAGTTCTAATAAATTGAGACAGTGTCAGTTCAGTTTTCAGAGTTGAAGTTCAGTTCAGTTCAGTTCAGTGTGGTATAATATTCACTGCTGCAAGTCCAAACATGTGCAGCGCCACAGGTCCCAAACCAAACAAGCCAGTGGTGACAGTGGCGAGGAACAAACTTCTCCAATTGACCAAAGTGAAGGTAAGGAAAAACTCTAGAGAAACCAGGAAGCTGAGAGGGTGAGAGGTCCACAGGGATTGAATCTCGGATGCATTTTTAAAAAAATCATAGTGATTGGCCTCCTAAGTGGAATCCCCCATCTCATCCTCATATTCAAGATTCTCTTCTTCTTTTGGCTGTCCTTTCAGGGTTTTTTGGCTTTCTGAGTCCTTATTATCTTCCATCTATTGCATACTTATCCCTCCACTAACTTCAAGTTCTTATTTCTCACATCCATAAATCATACCAGGCCTTCCACTTTGCCTCTTCCAGCAGTTTCATTTCCAACATAAACAAATATTTTCACTCCTTTGTAAATCCAAATCATCTCAATGTTGGCTCTCTAACGTTTACTTCAAAACATCCAACATTTGCAGTCCATCTGATGTGTTCCTTCCTAATGTTGTCCAACCCTGTCACTCTCAAAGAATATAAACACTCTCAAACAATATCCCTATCTCTGCTTTCTCCAACTCCGACTTAGTGCCACAGTCACTAAACCATACAAAATAGCATACCATACAAAATCAGCAACAACCATACTTGTTGCTGATTTGAACACCTCCTTGATTCTTGCCGGTTTCTTTCTGTCAACCTATATCTCCTGTCATTTTTGGGTAGATGATTAAATCAGATAAATCATTGTCGTTTTACAAACATTCAGGAAACTATTAACTGTTTCTTTGGCTCTCTGCAAAGGCAGTCACACTTTTTTTCTTCCTCCTTTATCACTCCTGACTGGCTCCTCTTGTCTTATTCTATTTCTGAAGCTCTCCTGGATAAACTGGTCTCTGAATGCAATTGACGGCATCTTCTTGAAGAGAAGTTTGAGTTCAGGGGAACCCAACTGTCCTGTGGGAATGTTTGCTGATGGATACATGGTGGATGAGTGGGAGAAGTGGACCTGGAGAACGATGATGGACATTAAATATGTGCAAAATCAACAGATATTGACTCAAATTTGAAAACCTTTTCTCTTTTTTCTTTCTATGTGACTATCCTGCCAGACAGACTTGGCTGTAGACAGACAACTTCCCCTGGAGAACAAGATAATGAGACACATTAAATTCCAGCTCTCTGTCCAAAGACACCTGTTGTTACCCTTCCCACATCCCACACCTTTATGTGCTTTTACTCACTGGTGTGGGTAGGCGGGACTGTGTGACCAGTGCCTACTGGCTGCAGGATCAGACGGCTGCTGCCTTTTTCATAGCACATCCACATCTCCTGTTCCCATCCCCTGTTGCAATGTTATGTCCATGTCTTTGTGTTTTTGTGCTTGGTTGCTTTTTCCTGATCTCACATTGCCCTACTTCAAGGAAAGTCTGAGAGGATGTTTTTATTGTCTCCTTTCTCCCTTATGTATCTTATTTCATATTTATAAAAGCTACCTCTCATCTAACCTAAAATGTGAGAAATTTTTTTATGGTGGGGGGGCTTGACCGAACTGGGCCTTGACCTGGGCCTTGGAATTTTTTTGGCATGGAATTTTGATAACTGATGATCCAAAAAATCAAATTAGATTTGGTGATGCTTTATGTAGTTCGCAATGACCTACCTGACACAACTATCTCTGATTACCCTGGCTTGGGACCAGCATATAAGTCACTGGACTATGACCCATGTGGCAAGATTGGAACATTAAAAATTCTAAAGGTCAAAACTCTAATATTTTTAAACTCAAGCATTTCAATAATTTAAAAACAAGATCAAAGTTCAGGTCCCAGTGTTTCACAGGAAATGCAGATTAGTAGAACATTCATATTCATTATAAGATATCAAACCTATTCTAACTGCATTTTAATGCTTTTTGTATTTTAATATTCCAGACTATAGAGTAAACACAGATGATGAAGTGAGGATTGTTCTTCTGGGCAAAACTGGAGTTGGTAAAAGTACAACTGGAAACACAATCTTAGGAAGAAAAGCTTTTACAGCAGAAACATCTCACCAACCAGTGACTAAAGAGAGTCAGAGAGAAACATCTGAAATCAATGGCAGACAGGTCACTGTGGTCGACACTCCAGGAGTGTTTGATACTGAACTCACTGAAGAGGAGATCCAGAGAGAAATCAGACACTGCATCTCCATGATTCTGCCTGGACCACACGTGTTTCTCCTGCTGGTTCCACTGGGACGATTCACTAAAGAGGAGGAAACATCAGTGAAGATCATCCAGGAGACGTTTGGGGAAAACTCTCTAATGTTCACCATGGTGCTCTTCACCAGAGGAGACTTCCTAGGAAACAAATCCATTGAAGAGTTTCTGGGTAAACCTGGATCTCCTCTGATGAACCTGATTGAAGCTTGTGGACACAGATATCATGTGTTCAACAATAATCAGCCTGAAGAGCGAACACAAGTGTCTGATCTACTGGAGAAGATAGACAACATGGTGAAGGCAAACGGAGGAAGCTTCTACTCATGTAAGATGTTCAGAGAGATGGAGAGAGAAAAACAAGAACAACAGATGAAGATCCTGATGGACAGAGTCAGAGAAACTGAAGAAGAGATGAAGAAACTGGAGGAAGAGAAAGACAGAATGAAGATGATGATGGAGGAGGAACGACAGAAGCAGGAGACGGAGAGAAAGATGAGAGAAGAAGAACTGAAGAGAGAAATAAGAGAAGGAGAGGAACATCAGAGAGAGATGAAGGAGGAGATGAAGAGAGAACGAGAGACATTTAGACACGAAATAGAGGAAATCAGGAGAGAAAAAGAGAAACTGCAGATCAAACATGAGACAGAAACAGACAGACTGATGAAGAGAACAGAGGATGAGAAGAAGAAAAGAGAAGAGGAGAATACAGAAAGAGAAGAGAAATATACAAGACAGATCAGGGAGAAAGAGGAGAAAGAGAGAGAGATGAAAGAGGAGATGAAGAGAGAACGAGAGGAAATGATGAAGGAAATAGAGAAACTTCAGATCAAACATGACACAGAAACAGAAAGACTGATGAAGAGAATAGAGGATGAACGAGAGATTCATGAAACAGAGAGAAAGAGAAGAGAAGAAGAGTTTAATGAGAGGGAAGAAGGATATAAGAGAGAAATGAAAGAGAGAAAAGAGAGAGAGAAAAAATTTTGTGAGGAGATGATGAGAGAACAGGAGGAATGGGAGAAACAAAGACAAGAAGAAAAGAAAAGAAGAGAAGAAGAGGAGAAAAGAAGGGAGAAAGAACAGAGAGAATTCAATGAGAAACTGAAAGAAGAGAAAGACAGAATGGAGAGAGAGAAAGAAGATCTTCAGTCTAAACATGAAGAAGAAGAAAAGAAGATGAAGATCCAGATAGAGGAACTGAACAGAGAAAGAGAAGAACTGATGAAGAGACATGAGGAAGAGAAAGAGAAAATGAAGATGATGATGGAGGAGGAACGGCAGAATCAGGAGGAAGTGAGAAAGAGGAGAGAAGAAGAGTTCAGAGAGAGAGAAGAGCGATATAAAAGACTGATTAAAGAGAGAGAGCAGAAGGAGAATGAACTGATAGAACAGATGAAGCTGGAGCGAATGCAGAAACAGAAACTAGAGGAACGACTGAGGAGAGAAGAAGAGAAACAGAAATCTGAACTTCACAAGAGACGCCAAAGTCCAGTTAGTGATCAGACAACAGGTAAGACATGATTTATAACACTATAAAAGACCAGAGACTTTAAAACTCTTACATACCAATTCGTTTTAAATGTGTTAGTCTTATTCCATGTATGAATCCTTATTTTAAGTTCCTTGACATGTGATGCAGGTTATTTAAGTTCATTAGTTACATCACTGTGTCTCCCAAATTAAACACGCGTGACTGAACTGATCTCCTCTTCTGTGGATTCAAGACCAGAATTTGCCTTGTAATGCTGTGTTCACACCAGACGCGGCACGTACAGATGAATCACAATATTTGTGCGTAAATAGACGCTTGAACATTTTGACTCACTTTATTCACGCATCAAATCTGCTTAATTCGGTCATCAAATTCACTTTACAACAGATGTGGATTCACGTCATGGACAGGGCTTCTGTCTCCCCTGTGACTGTAGCTTCATTGCTAAATGGCTAACATGGATTTTATTGAGAGTGTAGCTGTGTTTATGTGCTTTATGAAGGCTGAAAATCATTGATGTCTGCTGAAGTTCAGATTTTCCAACTCAAGTGATTTGCCCATCAAGTGCATCAATTGCACTTAACCTCATTCGCACATATCGATATATTCTGTTTGTGTCTTTGTATTACCTTAACATGTAAATCACTTGCTGAGGGGTAAAGCAGTTGTGCAGTAGGTAGTGCTGCTGCCTCACAGCAAGAAGGTCATTGGTTCGAACCTCGGCTCAGTTGGCGTTTCTGTGTGGAGTTTGCATGTTCTCCCTGCGTTTGGGTCCGGTTTCCCCCACAGGTGAATTGGGTAGGCTAAATTGTCCATAGTGTATGAATGTATGAGAGTGACAGGCTGGCCGGAAGGTGTAAAAAAGTCATTATCATATGGAAAAGTCTAAATGGAAGACTTGTTCCAAAGAGCCGACCCAGCAACCATACGGGACGAAGGCCAAAGAAGAAGAAGAAGAAAAAGAACATGTAAATCACTTGCGCTTGACGCTTCATTCGCATCTGAACACAGCATGACAAGAAAAATGTGTGAAATAGTATATGCTGAAGAACAGGCTTGATGCGGTGAAGCGGCACCTGTGCATTATTTTATAATAATTCCCAATCCTAGAGGTGATTTCTGTGCTTCTTCTCTGGTCTCCACATCTGCTAAATCCACTGTTCAGATGTTTTATTTCAGACATTTGTCAGTTTTTTTGTCCTCAAACTGCTCTGACTGTAATATGTGAACAGCCTACCAGACATCTCAAGTCTCCCGGAAGCTCCAGGACTGTCAATTTTGGCTGTTGTAGCTGTGAAATGACTCAATCATTCAGCGGAGTGATGTGTTCAGCCATGAGCAAAATAGGTTACTGGGTAGCATAAAGATATCTCACTCATAGTTAAGATAATAATTTTCATTTAATAAGAAATCTGCCCAGTTTGTTCAACTTTTTTTTCAGCTGAAGTATTAGAGTGTGTGTATGCTGTGTGAGATCTTTGGACACTGACAAGAGTGGCAGTACTCAATAATATTCATGAGCATTCCAAATATGGTCATAACCAACCATGTGATATTTGGGGCAATTTTTATGATTGGAAAAAAACAATAATATGAAAACTATATAATATGTTGTATCAACACATACTTTGGCATCTTTAACATTACATGAAAGAGCAGTACAATGTAAACATTACAGAAAATAGTTCCTGAAATACAACTCTCATGCACCCTTAATAGAAAAAAATGTTTTCAGATTAATATTTTCAGATGTGTTGCTGTGTAAACTGCTTTAGTTTTTGCTCAACAAAATTCATAATTAATTCATTGCTTTATTCATTGGATTGTATTGTATAGGCTATTAGCACACTGATTTGGGTACGCATGTGTATAGTTTTGTATCTGACAGTGATGACCCATATTGTTTTCAAGGTCAGCAGCAGATGTTTTCGATATTTCATGTTATTATAGTTATGTTTTTCAGCTGTGATTGTGTTGGCTCAGTAGCCCACTCAATAGTCATTTTGTTAAAGTATGAGATAATTAGCACTGTGTCAGTGAACGATGCTCATTTAGACAGTAACAGCAATAAATATATTAATTAAATTGAAATAATTTACTTTTTTATATTTTGCATTTAGTTTTTTTTAAATTTCTAAACACTTACACAAAATATAATTATATATAATACAATATATTGATAACAAAGATTCCACAAACTCAATTCTACAACCTGATAATCACACAGAAGCAGAGCATTTCTCTGCTTATATCTGATACAGGCAGACTTATGAATAGGAAAAGCTATTTAAGCTATTTTCTTTATGTTTATGGGCAGTAAAAAAGAACATGGTAAAAAAGACTTGAAACTTATCAGTTACTTATACCTGTCTATAGTTTATACTAAACTTATACCTGTTTATATTTTCAGTTGCTGATCATTCAGAAGATCTTCTGAGGATTGTGCTAATTGGGAGAAAAGGAAGTGGAAAGAGTGCAACAGGAAACACTATTCTGGGAAGAAAGGAGTTCATCAGTAGAATGAGGCCAATTTCAGTGACGATTGTTTGTAAAAAAGGAGTTGGAGAAGTTGCTGGTCGATCAGTAGCTGTTGTTGATACTCCAGGACTCTTCGACACAGCACTGACAAATGAACAAGAGGTGGAAGAAATAGTGAAGTGTGTTTCACTGTCAGCTCCTGGACCTCATGTGTTTATCATTGTGGTGAGTTTGGGGAGATTTGTTAGAGAGGAGACAGACACTATTGATCTGATCAAGAAGATCTTTGGTCCAAAATCTGCTCAGTTCAGCATCGTTCTGTTCACCAGAGCAGACGAACTTGAGGATGAATCTATAGAAGATTATGTGAAGAGAAGCAAATCTGCAGAACTCCAGAAACTGATCAGAGATTGTGGAAACAGATTCCTGGCTTTCAATAACAGAGACAAACAAGACAAAACTCAAGTGATGAAGCTGTTAAAGATGATAGAAGAGGTGAAGAGTAATAATCAGGGTGGATACTTCACTATTGAAATGTTTGAGGAGGCAGAGATGTCCATTAAGAAGAAGATGGAGGAAATCATGAAAGAGAGATTCTGAAACTGAGAGAAGAGTTACAGGGCAAATATGAGATGGAGATGAAGGACATGAGGAAGAGACTCGAGGAAGAAAAACAAAGAGCAGAAGAGGAGAGAAAGAAAATGGAGAATAAACTAAAGCTGAAAGAGGAAAAACTCAGAAAAGAGTTTGAAGAGAAGGAGAAAACAGATCAGAAGAAAAGAGAGATTGAAAACCAGAAACGATCAGAAGAGGAAAAACAGCAGAGAGCTGAATATGATCAGAGAATAGAAGAAATGAAGAGAGAGATTGATAATCAGAGATCACAGTATGAACAACAGCAGAAAGAAAGAGAAGAAGAAGACAGAAAGAGAGAAGAGAAATACAGACAAGACCAAGACAAGATGAAAAGTGAACAAGTGAGAATTATAGAAGAATTAAAGACGAAACATGAAGAAGAAACAAAACTGAGATATTTGGAGAAGAAAAGAAGAAATGAAGAAGAAGAGGAGGAAAGACAGAGATGGAAAATAAAAATAAAAGAAGCTGAAAATGACAGAAAAGAGACACAGGACGAAATTAAACGACAGCAGAGAGAATGGGAGGATGAGATGAAGAGAAGGTTGAGAGAACAAGAGGAAGAAGAAAGAAAAGAGAAACACGAAGAACAACTGAGAGAAAAACAAGAAGAACTGGAGAAAATGAGAAAGAGATTTGAAGGAGAAAGAGAAGAAGAACGACAGAAGATGGAGGAGGAGAGACAGAAACAGAGAAGAGAAAGAGAAGAAAAGGAGAGAGATTATGAGGAAAAGAGACAGGAGACAAAGAGACATTATGAGGAGCTGGAGAGAGAGAGAAAAGAGGAGTGGGAGAGAAGAAAACATGAAGATGAAGAGAGAAGAGAAGAAGAGAGAAAGAGATGGAAGAAAATGATTGAAGATCTGAAAAGAGAGCAAGAAGAGTAGAACGGAAGAGAATATAAGATGAAAAATAATCAGAAGCTGTCAAAAAAGATTTAAAAGAAACTTTAAGACCCAACACACATGTGTGTAACAAAAGCATCTCTCTACTGTGGTTCATTATTATGAGGACTTATTTTACATTCCAGCTGCACTTCTGAACATTAACCTAAACCATATTCAACACTCTTGTTCTCCTCTGGCACAAAACTAAATCATCAATCTCAGTGTGCTGAATATCAACTCATGAACATGTTGTGAATGCCTTTTCTACCTACACCATACAATATACCTCCAGAACACCTTTATACTTATGAGCTGTCTGGGGTTATTTTATATCAGATTTGCTCTTTTTTTGAGCAGTCACAGGACATGCTTATCTCATTCTTTGTATTCAGAATAAAGGGTGCTAAACATTTTTCTTTCATAGTAACTCTTAATGTAGGTTTTAAGCCAACAGTTCAGATGTTTCCTCTTTGTTTTTGACATTATTAGATTGAGTGCTCAGGACTTTTATCAGTTTTTAATGGCTGCTCATAATGTTTAACTTGAATCAACTGGACTTTTCTCATCATCTCAACACACATCAGTGAAAATGACATAAATAAGTTCAACTGTAACTATACAAATGTTGAAATGTGATGAACTGATTAAAAAGATTTGTAAGTATTTTTATAGTTTAGTTTATGTTATGTAATGTTGTCAATGGGCATACTCCACAGTCCAGTGTTGTTCCAGCATCTTCACACGTTCAAAAATCTTCCCTCAGACCAACGTTATGTTGAAACCCTTACAAACCACATCAAAACGAACTACTTCATTTCAATGGCTTATGTAAATATGACAATGTCTCATGCTAACATGACTTTTAACACATTAAATAGACGTCATCCTTGTCTTACAATTAAAATGTAGAAATTCTTTACTTTAGTACGGAAGTCCTAAGAGGCCATGCATTCAAATATTTTTCCTCTCTTGTTTTGTTGTGATCACGACTTAATTATCTCGTGATCTCGACATAACAAAAGTTGATTTCTCGTGATAGTGTAGGGATAGTTTACAGTTTAACGCAAAGAATGAGCAGTCTGGTAGATGAAGAAGAGCCGGAGTCAGAGATTTAAAAAAATAAATCAAGTTTACTGAAGATAGTTTGCAGTTTCATCCGCAGAAGCCAGCTTCAACACTCGCAATGAGTTCCTAGGCCGCTCTGCTTACAATCACCAATCAATAACAATTATACTCTCACATCACGTCATTAACTGCGTCACACATACAGGTATTCTAACCTGACTGGTTAAAACACAGATAAACTAGGAAATTTCCACGTGGGGTTTGTGCGTATATTCTGAACAATATCTAAACATAAGAGTCAGACATCCCATAGACTGATTAGAGCTGACTCCAGACCTGTGAAACGGATCAACAATCAAATAGGACACACACACTTAATGTACAATCTGTTTCTTATCCAAGGCTGTGTCACGGTTGTGGATCTATCTGCGCTTCTATGATGTGTCTGCGTAGGTTGTTTATCCGTGGTGCGTGTATGACTAGTGTGTGCGCTTGTCTCTGTGTTTGTGTGGGAGTCGCGTGTCTGTCAGTGTTGTTGTTTTCATGTCATCAGCTGGGCGGTCATACTGTATGTTGTGTGTTGTTTTTAACCCCAAATAAGGACTAAATGTATTTTTGCACTATCATTGATCTGCAATTATAATCAAATCATGCTCATTGAAAGGTTACGAACATTCATATGAACAGTCATGAACATTTATGCACAAGCATTTATGTCAGGGGTGTCCAAACTCGGTCCTGGAGGGCTGGTGTCCTGTAAAGTTTAGTTCCAACTCCAATCAGACACACCTGGGCTAGCTAATCAAGCTCTTATTAGGCTTTCTAGAAACATCCCTGTAGGTGTGTTGAGGCAAGTTGGAGCTAAAATCTGCTGGGCACCAGCCCTCCAGGACCAAGTTTGGACACCCCTGATTTATGTGTATAAAGCATCTGTTTTACCACTGGGCCACCATGCCGCCCAATCTAGGTAAAAAGGAAGGAGGAGAAGGGGAGGAAAGGGGGTTTCTTCCAGACGAAGATAGTAGTGGAATGAAGACTGTGGTTATTTAAAGTTACTTAGGAATCATATGATTGGAGGATCATGATTAGCTAATGCAGAACTGACTGTGATCAATCATAAGCATGTGATCCTCTCAAAATTAGTTTATAAACAAACTTCACTTCAAGCCCAACTATGATGTAAACCTCCAGAACACTTCAAATAAAGTAACCTGAAGTTACAGAAGATTATTTTAATTTATGCATTTATGGCATTTATATAAGTAAACACAAGAAGGGCATTTATCTATTTATTTATATTACAAGTACAATTACAATTGGTGCAGCAGCAGTAAAGCAATGTATGGATGTACTGGTCAGTTGTGGTGAAGAAGGAGCTGAGCTGAAAGGCAAATCTCTCGATTTACCGGACAATCTACGTTCCTACTCTTACCTATGCTCATGAGCTTTGGGCAAGATTTTGGATTCAAGTGGGCGAAATGAGTTTCCTTTCGCAGGGTGGCAGGGCGCACTCTTATGGATAGGGTGAGGAGCTCTGACACCCGGGAGGAGCTCAGAGTAGAGCTGCTGCTCCTCCACATCCAGAGAAGTCAGCTGAGGTGGCTCGGGCATCTGTTTCAGATGCCTCTTGGACGCCTGCCTAGGAAGGTGTTCCAGGCATGTTGCACCGGGAGGAGGCCTCGGGGAAGACCCAGGACACGCTGGAGGCACTATGTCTCTCGGCTGGCTAAGGAACACTCCAGGATCCCCCCGGAAGAGCTGCAGGAAGTGTATGGGGAGAGGAAAGTTTGGGGTTCTCTCCTAAGACTGCTGCCCCCGCGACCCGGCCCTGAAAAAGTGGCAGAAAATGAATGTATGAATGAATAACTATTACAAGTAAGAGAAAGGTGGAAATATTTCCTAGTTTTAAACCAACAGCTCAAAGGATATTTTGTTGTGTTCGGTTATCTTTACTAATACATGAGATCTCCATTTCATCTTCACCGACTAATCCTTCCTTTGAGGAGGTGAAAATGTTTGTTGCAAAGCTACGCAGCAGTTATAACTCAATACTCAACATTAAAGTACAGTCGGTTATTATTAAGTTAAAGGGAACACATGAGCGTTTTTCAGCAGTCCACAAGCACACATGACTCTTTGGAACATCTTGATTATTTGGATCAGCTGTGTAGCGTTGGAGCAAAACTGTGCAGAGCTGCGGCCCTCTAGGAATTGAGTTTGAAACCTATGCTGCAGATGAACAGATCCTGCAGTAATTACCTCCACTAGCAGAGGGAGCTGTGAGAGATATTGAGCACTGTCCAGATGCTGATATTTAGACATACAATAAATGGCGCAGGTACAGGTGCTGCTTGCCATTCATTATGTGTTAATCCCTACGCAGGGTTTATTCTGCAATGTGACTTTTTCAAATAGATGAAGGGTGTAGGGGTCAAAGCTTCTCTTTGGAACGTACTTCTGCATCATCTTATGATGATCATAGAGGTGAGCCTGCATCACACTTTTGTGCATTATATTTGACGAACACAAGATACACTCCTAATGATTGAAATTGTGCACTCTGCACTTTTATTTATTTATTTATTTATTTATGAAAGCATGTTTGTCTTTAGCCTGTGTATGTAAGTTTGTAGTGTAACCGGTTCTGCGTTGTGTTTTCTTTGCTTTATTAAGGAATAACCAGTCGGAGATCTGCAGTTGTGACGGCTCTTTACTCACTGAGAATAAACCAAAAAGCACAGCTTTTACAGTGTGTCTTCGCCCTTACAGCTTCTCTGTTAAAAGTAAAGTGCAATGCATTTAGCATTCACATGCTTCAGTTAGGCTAAAGTTAATCAAAACCTCAATTTAAGTGATGACACAAAAATAATTAAATATGTGTGAAAAATAAAGGTATAAATATTATTTAAACATGAAAACTAGCTTTAAAAGTTATTTATAAAGTAAAGATGATTAAAGATTAATTGGAGCTTAGCAGACACCCACCTCTCCCATGCCAGTCAGTGCAGAAAGGGAAGAGGCGGGCGCAAAACAGGAAATTGAACAGCGTGAGCTCCCTTAGAAATTTAAAGGAGAAGACACACACTAACAAACACCTCAGGTACACTTACTAACACATTAGATAAAATACATATTTTGTGTGATTCTATACTTAAAGCGAATTATAATTTTCATACCTGTTACATAGGACTTTCCAGTATGTGTCACTATTGTTTCCATAGGTATATTTTTAAAGATAGATGTTATTATGCTTTATAATATTTGAAGAACAAATATAAGTATGTATATTTACCATGTTAGTTTAAATGCAGGCACATTTATGTTGTATTTTCAAATTTGTCACAGTTCTGAAATTTGTTTTACTGTTTTTAGCCAATAGGTTGTGTCTGTGTATAAATTAAGACACTAGAGCAGGGGTCACCAAACTTGTTCCTGGAGGGCCGGTGTTCAGCAGATTTTAGCTCCAACCCTAATCAAACACACCTGATCAAGCTAATCAAGCTCTTACTAGGTATACTTGAAACATCCAGGCAGGTGTGTTGAGGCTAGTTGGAGCTTAACCCTGCAGGGACACCGGCTCTCCAGGACTGAGATTGGTGACCCCTGCACTAGAGTAATTTTTTCTTCTCTCTCAGTTAGTTATTGTTGAAGTTTGACAGACTAGTGTAATGTTAACGTCAGTACTCAGGCTACCTAGTTTGAGGATGAACATTGTGTATGTGTACGCAATAAAAGTTGAGGCGTGGCTCGAGTTGTATCCATCGTACTTGCCCTGAAAGCCTTCCAGTGGGGAGTTTATTGAGGTAAAGTGAGTAACTTGATAAAAACTGAACAATGTGTGTATGAATTTACAATTTTCATTAATTTAAAGTTATTTTATTTATCTTTGTTTTTCTTTAAAACTTTGTTCGGGCATCATGGTGGCACAGTGGGCAGCACAATCGCCTCACAGCAAGAAGGTCACTGGCTCGAGCCTTGGCTGGGTCAGTTGGCATTTCTTTGTGGAGTTTGCATGTTGTCCCTGTGTTCGCGTGGGTTTCCTCCAGGTGCTCCGTTTCCCCCCACAAGTCCAAACACATGTAGAACAGGTGAATTGGGTATGCTAAATTGTCCGTAGAGTATGAGTGTGAATGAATGTGTATAGATGTTTCCCAGTGATGGGTTGCAGCTGGAAGGGCATCTGCTGCGTAAAAACAAATGTTTGATAAGTTGGTGGATCATTCCGCTGTGGCGACCCTAAATGGACTAAGCCGAAAATGAATGAATGAATGAACTTTGTTCAAAAGTACTACACTACTTGATTAGAAACATACTACACTTACATTTATTTGTAAAGTCAAACTCCAGCTGTCATTCTGTGACACCTACTTCCTTGCATTTTAAAACAGAAATTGGTCAACCTTTACACATTAAAAGAAACAAGAAATAATAAAACGGGCAAAAAACAACAACTGCACATTATTTTAAAGCATTAAACTGATTTTGAGTAAATGTTTCGATTTACACCTACATTTAACAATGGATTTGCCATATCTAACTACCCTTTCATTTGTTTATTTATTACTGTAGTCTACTCTTTTTCTTTTAGCTCTTGTATGTAATAATTATCGTTATACAAACTGCAAAAAACTAACAAAAAACAAAAAACAAAAAAAAAAAAAAACTTCCCTGCGGCCTGCCTAACATACTGAGGCAAATTATTTCCAAGTTTAGGTGCCACCACTGCAAAGGCATGGTTCCTCCTGGTTTTTAACCTTGTGTGTGTAACAGCCAAAAGTAGCTGATCAGCACATCTAAGTGTCCTTGATGGAGTGTACATGCATTACGAAGGGCCCTCGCAAGTAGACAGTATTGAGCACTTTGGTTTGGAACAATACCTCAATAAGGCAGTCGCTGTTTCCCTCCAGAGGGCGATATATTCCATTTTAAACGCAACGAGGGTGAAGTGTGACGTCACAAACTCCGCCCACACACACGTTTCTTCCTGGTGGTTTTACGAAGGAAAAGAGAACCTTCAGCATGCAGGTATCACTTTTGCTTTAAATACAAGTTCATTGACAAAACACACAAATATATGCGTAAATATTGTAATATATTTGCACAGAAAATTATTATGTGTGTTGTATTCAGTGTGTAGTTGTAGAAATTGTGGAAACGGTTTGGTTTCACTTTCATTTACGTCTGAGAACCTAAAACAAAAATGGTTCGTTTTATATATTTAAATGTATAAAGCAGTGTTTGATTAAATCACTCAATAGGAGTTGTTTATAATAGCATAAATTCTGGGTAAATCAGTATCATTAGATGTTCAAATTCATCAACACTGAAACATCATTCATTCATTCATTCATTCTTTATTTCATGTTCCTTCGGCTTAGTCCACTATTTATCAGGGGTGAGGGGTCGCCACAGTGGAATGAACCGCCCACTGAAACATTTCTCTTCTTATTAAATACAGGAGGAAACCAACTTATATTTTAATAATTTTTTATTAAACATATTTTGAATACAACAGATCAGTATAATTAATGTAGTTAAATCTGTGTGATCTCTGACAGGAGGATGAAGAGACACACATCAGGAGGAGGAGGAAGATGATGAACTGAAGAAAGAGAAGCAGATCAACATGAGCAGCATAATAACATGAAGATCAGCAACATCAGAAATGAACAGAGATGATGATCAGCTGATGAAGACTGAAGATCAACATGAGCAGCAGAGAGAGCAGAGGTCAGAGTCCATCTGATAAAACATCTTTCCTAAAGTTAAAAACTAAATGAACAGCTGATGACCAGCCTTATGGGTGTTTTAATAAAGATGTATGAATTATAAATTATTATCTTTACTAATATGATCTGCCCTGACATATGTTCACTTGAATGTTTTATAGCCGTTGAACACAGTCCTGCTCTCAAAAGAAGTCGAAGCAAAGAACTAGAGCCTCCTGACTGTAAGTATTTATAAAGATGATGAACACTGATTAACAGCAGGTCATGATGTTTTAGCCGCTTAAAACAAAGCTGTGTTTCTGCTGGTGAAGTTGATGCATTGAAACCTAGTAAACTGATACATTCAGGGCTTTACATTAACTTTTTTAATCACCGGCCACTGTGGCTACCCACATGGCAAAGTTTCTCTGGCCCAGCTCTGGCCCACACAATCAGGTTTTGCTTGGCACACATGCCGCAGTGAATTACGGTACATGACTGGACCAAATCTGGCTTCCAGACAAGGGCCAAACACGGACCATATCTAGGCCAAGTCTCAGCCAAGTTAATAACTCATAACTGGGCCTGAACTGGGCCAGATAGGTTGGTGTGTCACGATTGCAATGAAATTGAAAAACCCATGGAGTGATGCGCTTTAGGCACACTATGGGCACGCTTTTTCTCAAAGTGACCTGATTGGTAGAATTTTTTTTTCTTTACTCAAAAATGATTTTAGTGTATTTTAAATGTGGGTCAAGACTGGCCAAACTCACATGGCCCACTTATCAAATGTTTAAATCTGGGCCAAATACTACGTTTTTCATCTGGCCCAAATCTTGTGTGCCGCCTTAAAGACGGTGCCACCTCTGCCAAACCCGGGCCATGTTTGGCCCACATGCTGTATGCCAGTGCCGGATGAATGCCTGCTGTGCCAGCTTTATGCCAAATCTGGGCCAGAATTCTCTGCTACTAGGGTAGTAGTTTTCCAATGTTACTAGCCACTCTGCATTTTCACTAGCCACAATTTTGTTTGTTTGACGTTGACATGCTAAAATTACTTGGTTTAAATTTTGTGTTATCTCCACATGCGTTCTCATTCATTTCACTTTTTGTGTCGTGTATGAGCTTGCTCAATGAGCATGAGCAAATGGATCATGGTGTCATAGTGTTATTTTTTTAGAGCTTAAAATGAACGATTTACCAAATTTATCTCTATAACCACACTAAACAATAATAATTTCTTAGCCACAAATTTTTAATGTGTCAAAACAAGCAAAATATAGCTGTATACTATACTTTTTATTTAACAAAACATTTATTTAAAAAGAAAAAAAAAGCAATTGACTTTAAAAAAATAACTATTGTTAACATGTATCAAAAAATATGCTTGGTAATCTGTCGTGACTAAAGGTCTCTCGGATCAGCAGTTAGCTGCACATAAATGGAGAGTTCATCTCCCATTAAAGCAATGTTGTAAAAATAATAATAATAATAATAATAATTAAACCATTTTAACAAAAATAAAAGCAAATAAAACAGTAAGCAAATGAAAGCAGGTGAAACATACCGTGTGTGATAATGAAAGGAAGATCACATGCTCACGGTTAACTATAGGCTATTTATTATTCTGTTCAAAGTGAAAGCAACCGCTGCTGCATACAAAAAGACACATGTTGAGCTCTTGAAAGCATCAGGACTGTGGAGGCATGTTCATCACTTTTTGTCTAGTCTATTTGAAGGAGAACTGATGACAGTTGCATTTCCAGAACCTGCTCCAGACACGGTTGCTTCACGATTCGGGAGTGCGCACGCGTTTGAAGAAGTCGCGCGCATCACTTCAGCAGCGAGTGATCATCATCCTCTCATTCATTATTAATTTGCTTTATTCTGCTCACGTGATCACAGTTATTTTACTTCTCGATTTTAAGATCACATTTGCACGCATATTGGGCCATCCTTATATTGTCGAACCCTGCTTTTAGGAAAACTACAATTTAAAAATTATTTTCAACCAGCCAAAGTGGCGCATCTTCAGTGCGAGGATCAAGAACGAGCCTCCTCCATTCAGCCTCTTCACTTTTACTCCTTTACTTTGGTGGAGTGAGGAAACGGTGGAAACTCACTCCACCGAACACACCCATTAGCTCACATATTTAATTTAGTTTGTTTAGCACAAAGATAAGTGTAGTAATCTATTTCTAAACTCAGATCTAATCTCCAGCAAAGGAATAAATTAACAATAATAATGAAGTGTGGACAAGTTATATCCAGACACACGTCCTGTTCTTATGCCCCATATGTTGATGCAGACGTCTCTGAAACAACACAGGTGGACAAATCTACACTGCTTTTATTAAAACAAATATAATCTGCAGATAATAAATAATACTGCTAATAATAATAATATACAGATGCAGATTGTCATTAATAAACCAAAAAAAGCCCCCTGAGGTGGAGGCATGGAGGCAGTGGTGTTTATATTGATGTAGAAAAAAATATTTTTCGTAACCTTTTAATCCTTTAGGTCCCTTTGGATCTGCATAGGCGCATAACTAACAAACTCTGTGCTGGACTTTAAAGCAGCTTTTAGTTGGTCAATGGTGTAGTTTATTTCAGTTCCTCAAAATAGCGACGCCCCAACAATGTGTCTAAACACATTTAGACTGTTGTGGAAAGTTTCGCTGGATCTCGTCAAACATCTTCTAAGTTTCAAAAAAGAGGCTGAGGTCTTCGAAGTTGAAGCAGTTTATTGTTACAGCAGAGTTGGTCGATCGATCTCTCTCCTACCAATGTTCCAAAACTCACAGTTTATATACAGGCTTTTCCTATAGTCATCATGAAACAGTGGTGTAGCATGAGCATCCCGTTATTTCCAGGCTCCAATAGGATTCTAGCCTTTATATTGATGGCTGTATGTTTTTCTGTTTTTGCACATCCTAAAGGTCATATTTCAACACTTTTTAAATGATTCTCCCTATGCATGCTATTGCCGTGCAGGTTGAGCAAAGTTGTTTTTAAGTTGTTTTTGTCATGGTCAATACATCAATACATGTTGCACATGCTGTCTGAATGGTCTTACTTCACCGCTGTTTACTTCTGTGTGTTTTGCTCTGCATCACTTGAATGTATTTCTATATGTTTTAACAGTGTATTTTAATAGTGGCAGATTATACAGTGATTATATAGTGATTACATAATAAAAGTTCCTCTATAATTCTCCAATAAGACCAGCACACCGCTGAGTCCACAAAGCGGCGCAAATTGATTTGCTATTTAAACAACGTGGCGCAAAGTGTGAAAATTACTGTTGCATTGGTTTGAAAATAGCAACAAAATGCACCATACACACCTTGCACCGGGTTTACTTTTTTTTTTACTAGTTTACTTTTTAAAGAAGCAACACATGATTGTAATGCATGAGTTTTTAAAAGTAACTTTCCTCAACACTGGAGATGTTTGAGTCACAATAAAACATTTAACACATGTTGTGTGTTTCAGTGAGCACTGATTCTCCTCTGAGGATTCTTCTCCTGGGTAAAAGCGTGTCTGAGAACAGCCGTGTGGGAAACTTGATCTTGGGCAGATCAGCGTTTGACAGTGAAGCTCCTCCAGATGTTGTGGAGAGAGTCGGAGGAAGACTGAAGCACAGACACGTGACGCTCATCAACAGTCCTCAACTGCTCCACACACACATCTCAGATGATCAGATCACACAGACGGTCAGAGAGTGCGTGAGTCTGTCTGATCCAGGACCTCATGTGGTGCTTCTGCTCCTCCAACATCAGCAGTGTTCAGCAGAAGATCAAGAGCGTGTGGAGAAGCTGCAGGACTCTTTCTCTGAGCGCCTTCTTCAACACACCCTGGTGCTCAGCACACAAGAGCCCACTGAACCCAATCAGATCCTGCAGAAGATCATCCAGAAGTGCTCCAACAGACACTTCAGTCTTCAGACAAGCAGCTCTGCTGATCATCTTCTGCAGGCCTTTGAGGACATCGAGCGGAGCAATGAGGGACGACACCTGATTACACCAGCTCCATCTGGAGACTCACTGAGAGAACAGTTTAATGAGAGACTGAGAGAAGAGAGGGAGAGGATGGAGAGAGAGAAAGAAGATCTTCAGTCTAAACATGAAGCGGAACAAAACAAGATGAAGATCCAGATAGAGGAACTGAATAGAGAAAGAGAAGAACTGATGAAGAAGCTCACGCAAGAGAAAGAGAGAACAAAGAAGTTGACGATGGAGAAACAACAAAACCAGGAGAAAGAGAGAATGAAGATGATGGAGGAACAACAGATTCAGGAGAAAGAGACCATGAAGATGATTATGGAAGCACATCAGAATCAGCATAAAGGGAGAATAAAGATGATGGAGGAACAACACATTCAGGAGAAAGAGCGCATGAAGCTGATGATGGAAGCACAACAGAATCAGTTTAAAGGGAGAATGAAGATGATGATGGAGGAGGAGGAACAACAGAATCAGAAGAAAAAGAGAATGAAGATGATGGAGGAACAACACATTCAGGACAAAGAGACCATGAAGATGATGGAAGCACATAATCTGTTTAAAGAGAGAATAAAGATGATTAAGGAGGAGGAACGACAGAATCAGAAGAAAAAGAGAATGAAGATGATGGAGGAACAACAGATTCAGGAGAAAGAGACCATGAAGATGGAGAAACGACAGAATCCGGTGAAAGTGAGAATGAGAAGAGAAGAAGAGTTCATACAGAGAAAAGAGGGAAACGAAATGCTTGAAATAATGAAATTGGAGGGAATTAAGAAACCGAAACCAGAGGAAAGACTGAAAAGAAGAGAAGAAAAACAGTTATCTGAACTTTACAGGAGACACGAAAGTCCAGTTACTGGATTCACACCAGGTAAAACATGATTTTAGCAAGATAATTAGTCAATGTCATCTGCGTTTGGTTACAACCCCTTTTTATCTAGGGAAGTGGGGTTGCACATTTAACTGAGGAATTGGTTATACGAAAACTCCAAATTGTGTTACAAAGTAAGGATGGACAAGAATAAGTGAAAAAAATAAGTGATTTATTTACAAAAAGTGAGGGTGAATCAGTGAGTGAAATTTACAATATATACAAGGTTAAAGACAATTAACAACGAAATGTTAAAAAGACTGGCTACGGGTGGCGCTAAATAAGAGAACCAAACAAAACCGTCTTAATATTATTCACAACAAATCCCCTCTAATCTAATAAACAACAGATATGAAAAAGAAATCTTCAACATCGATGACGTCCTATCTTATCTACACTGACTAACAATTAAACCAAAATTACACGAGTTGGCACACACCCTCTTACCTGAGGCCTGTTTCAGTATGGAGGGTCAAACAACTCAGAGTTTAAACTTGAACTTGAAGTTTTCGGTTTCAGAACAGCTGATCTGAGTTAGGTCAATCAACTTTGAGTAGACCAATTCAGAGTTAAGCGCGCACACCGTGACTATAACAAGACATTATCAGTGGAGCCCAGATATTACGAGTGACCATGGCAGCATCTTAAAGAGATCACCATTTCTCTCTCCAGCTAATCTTGATATGATCATGCAAAGTTATAGAAAATATGAGCGTATATATTTAAAAAGAAGCAACCATCAGTGAAACAGAGACAGTGCGGGAAAACAGCTGCTCAAGTTAATGCGTAATTTTATATTTAATGTATTTAAATATTTAAATATAATAAAATAAGTAATGTAATGTGTGACTTTTATAATTTTTTTCTAAAATTTTTTTACACGTTTATCAGTTTTAATAGTTTTAAAGTGCACTTGTGTGTCTGCATTTTTTATTGATCAAGTGATAGAGGTTGATATAGCAGGTAAGCAGTAATAAAATAATTTTTAGAAAGAATAATAATCCCATTAATCTATAACAGTACATGTCGAAGGTCAATGAATTTAAGCTAATTATTTATAAAAAAGGAAAAGCTATTCTCGTATGTGACTTTGTTCTGTGTGTGACTAAAATGTAGGCAATATCTGTGTTTCCATTCAAATTTATTACATAAATGTATGTGCAAAACTGGAATAACGCAATCAAAGATGCGAATAAAGTCGTGTTTCCATCCAACAAGTCAAAGAGAACAAAATCGTCACTTCCTGATTAACTGGCGCCAAATATCAACAGTAAAAACAGAAAACAGAATTTTCTCTGGTAGAAGAAGCTGCGTCAATTATTTTTTTATTTAATAAATGTACTTGCGCCACAGAACAGAAGACAATGCTGACACAGAATGAACACGTGGGGGCGTTTGAAGCCATGAGACGCGGAGACTCTTGACATGCTCCAGACGCTCGGAGGTAGTAATATACACTAATACTGAAACAGTTAAGGCATTTTAGAATGACTAAAACAACATTTAACATGTGTTATAGTGTGCAGGGCCTGCTGGTTTGTTCATTCACACACATTTTCATCATTATATAATCTCTTATAACAAACCTTTTTTATGTACACACAGTAATTTGTTCAATAAAAGTGCTTCCATCGTATGCACTTACAACACTCCGTAGTTTATGCACATTTTCTATCGAATAAAAGTTTATCCTACTTAGTTATGCGTGTTTTTATGCACATTTTAAAAGTTATGTGAATCATTTTTATGCACATCTCCAAAATGAGCATTAAAATAGGTGGTTGGAAACGTAAGGCTAAGGCGAGAAATACCGCTTCATCTTTAATAAAGGGGAGGAGACCGACAGAAACTCTGAGTTTAGAGAATAAACCTGCTCCTGACCAGGTTATATTCACAGAGTAATTGACCACAGTAACTGACTCTGAGTTAAAGTTTCCTCAATTTTCAGAAACAGGCTTGACTTACCCTGATTTCTCCAGTTTAACAAACCTGCCATTTTGAAACGAAAAACCCAGAGTTTCTCTCATTTCAGGGTTAAAATACTCTGAGTTTTCACTTAACCTCCTTTCTGAAACAGGCCATGTGTATCAATCAGAGAGTCTGCTCCTGAACCAATAGACTGAAGACCTTTTAAAGGCCAGGTGGCATGCAGGGATTGTTCCGTTCTATCAGCTGAACAGATACAGTGGAAGTAAAGGACTGACGAAGACTGTAAAGCCTTATTTAACCCAATGCTTGAAGTTGTGGACTTGGAGCTGCTGCAAATAAAAGCATCAGATTTGTATCTAATATATACAACTATATATATTAAGGGTGGAGCCGAACCCGAATACGGTATTCGGAAAGGCACGAATAGCGTGTTTTTACGAATACTTATTTCGAACAAATACTTGAAAAATTATTTGTATTCGGGAGCAAGAAAAACACTATATCAAAAAGCAGCGTTTCCTCATGAGACCACAGTGCATGCCCGCGTGATTGAGTGAGTGAGTGAGTGAGTGAGTGAGTGAGAGAGAGAGAGAGAGAGAGAAAGAGAGACACGCTCAGTCGGAGGGCGGGGCGGAGGTAAAAGCTGTCTCGCACAAGCTTCTCCACAGCAGCAGACAGAGAAGGCTCGGCTGAGCGAAAAAAATACTACACTGCATTACTATTTTTGTTAAATAGATTTTTGTACCTTAATTGGGTTCCAGATACAGTTTATAAACTTGTAGCGGAGTTTGTTCGGGATATTACATTACGCTGCATTTTTGAAGTTTGCAATCGGGTGCTCTCTGTTTACGCAACGTTAGCTCTGTTAGCGCGGTAATTTAGACAATAGACTGTTGACAGAGTAACATTAACGTTCTTTTATAAAGGTTAAAACGATGCTTGTGCAGTTGTGTCAATAGTATCCACTTATGGGAGTTATATGGTACGTCTACATTACTGTCTTTTGCAGACAGCAAGATATATGCTATAGGCTAGTTAACCTTAGCATAGCTTCCCGTCACTATTAACATGAAACTCCTCAAATACATTTGGGCACCCGAATAGAAAAAGAGTGAGAGTGCTGCTGAGCCATTTCTTGGTCCTCCACCAGTCAAAAAAAAAAAAAACTTAATGTTCTTTGTGGAAGAATTTTACAGTCAGTGGTGCTGCAGATAAAACAAACTGATACTGTATAATGTGTGCAAAAGTGAAATCAGCAGAGGCAGAGATATTAAACATCTGTCAACATCTCCTATGCATAATCATTCATTTCTTTTCAGCTAAGTCCCTTTATCAATGTGGCGTTGCCACAGTGGAATGAACCACCAATTTATCCAGCATATGATTTACGCAGTGGCTGCCTTTCCAGCTGCTACCCAGCACTGGGAAACATCCATACACTCTCTTTCACACACACACAATAGGGACAATTTAGCTTACCCAATTCACCTGTATTGCATGTGTTTGGACCGTGGGGGAAACCGGAGCACCCGGAGGAAACCCACGCCAACATGGGGAGAACCCAGTCAGGGCTCGAACCAGCAACCTTCTTGCTGTGAGGCGACAGTGCTACTCACTGTGCCACCGCGCAACCTTCTATGTAATGTATTATCACATGCACTAAAAGCATCCTCTCCTGATACTGTCTGTGAACCCCCCACAAGCATCAATCCCCTCAATCAGCACAGCTATGTTCTGCTAAATCCTCCACAAGCACCAAACCATCAACACAGCCACATTCTGCCCCAGCAAGTCAGTTTCAAACATAAAAAAGTAAAAAAAATAACTTTGTGTCTGTTTTGTGGCTGGCAGATGACAATAGCAGGGCTGTATCTTTTAGTATTATATAGAATATTTTTGTTCTGTCAGATCTCCCAGGCAGGGTTTTATTTAGATTTATTTAGTTAATTTTAGTTTTTGGAATTCTGTGCATTGGAAAAAAGTTCTTTCAGAAGAAGAACAGTTTTTTGAAGTATTATTTGTTTTTATTCTGTCTATTCAGTGTCCTTCAACAAGAACGGTGGTGGTGGGGTTCATAATATTCACAATGGTATTTTATTAGTTGTTGGTTTAACCATGGATGAGATAATGGCTTCTATGTTATTTTCTTTTCAATGACATTTCTTGTCACATGTTCGAAAACAACAACCAATATTGCATGTCTATAATTTATATAATGGGTATTATAAAACTGCTAGAAGGCAGTTTTTGTGACATGGGATATATGGTTTTCAACAGTTAGATTGCTGTCTAATATGACACCCAGATCTTTTATAGTAGAGCTAAAGCTAACTTTGTATCTCTCTAATTGTAGATTGAGAACATCTCTAATACACTCAGTTCCCCTTCGGGGGGAACTTCAGCACTATAAGTGGATTTGATGTTCTAAATCCACGTATGGGAGATTTGGTTCAGAAGCCGCTCGTCTGAAAGAGTATTGAACGGGCCAATGAAAGCAATGAATTGGCAGCGCAAGCTTGCGCAGGTGTGCTGCATAGCCAATTAACTCAGCATATAAGCACACCTGGCGCCAGCAAACGCTATCCTTTTCGCTTCAGAGACTTTTCTGATCGAGTTCATGAGGGTTCCTCCTGCTGATCTACATCCACCTCGAGCGAATGAGTGTCTCCCGGTCCAGAGCGAGTCCACACAGCGGCAGGTGGTCGAGCTGGGTTTCTCCCTTGCCTGGCGTCCCTTTGGGTCCGGTCCTCCAGAGCGGTGCGTATTGTTGCAAAGCATCCTAAAAGAGCAACACAGTCGTGCAGCACGTCCTTTTCAGGACGGCGCTCCGACTGTGCGTTTCTGGTTGCGGGGGTTTCCTGGCTCCGGATGATGGGCACGATCACTGCATTACATGTTTGGGGGTCCAGCATGTTAATGTGGTGCTCGGGGGCGGTTCATGTCGTCACTGCGATGCCATGACCGTCGCGCAGTTGAGATCGCGGTTAACTTTCGTGAGAGAGCGAGCCACCCCAGTCAGCTCCTGCTCTGCAGCGGGCGCTCGGGCAGATCTGAGGGTTCCAGCGAAAGAT